ATGGTAAGCCTGGTAAGTCCAACAATCTAATCTACTGTCCAAGGCTGTAAGCCTTTTTGTTTCTATGATTCTGTTCTCTCTAGTCTCTATAGTCACTCTAGTCACTCTAGTTACTCTAATCGTCCTACGCCTCAGATATCTCCTGCACGTGGCTTGTGTATATCCGGACAAACAGAAGCCAGTGGGCCATTTCGCTTTGTGTGCTTCGCGTGAGACGCTCCTGCGCTTTACATGCTGTGCAAAACTCTGGTCTGTAGACTGCAGAACTGTAAAATCTAGATTTAGTTTCTAATTTCTCTTCAGTTGTAGATTCTAGACTCTAGACTCTAGACTACGACTAGGGATTCTTGCAAAACAGGTATCCAAGCAGTGTGCTATTCTCACAGACTTTGGATGTTTGGAAGTAGCAGACATCCTTTCCACCATGGATTTCAAGTAGAGAGACTACAGACCATGGAATCTAGAATTTAGAGTGTAGTTTCAAAAATTTCTTGAACTCTTCAGGCTAGAGTAGATTTAGACAGAGCACTATGGTCATTATGGCTCATTATGGCATCAATGTAAAGCAGCTGTTGCAATTGCTCGAAAGAGCTCAAAGCCTCAAAGCCCCAAACTCCCTCCACTTCAACCTCCTGGTCCCTTGTGCCAACAAAGCCTAAATGACATAAAGTCAAGTGCCAGGACAGACGTGACCAGGAGCAGGTGGAGGAGCCCATGGACGCAGAGTGTCAGGAGGGTGAGCAGGGTGAGGAGGAGGCCCTCGATGATGACATGGTGGTCCCTCCGACTTTCAAGCCCGGTGACCTCCTCAAGAATGATGGCCTAGGTACGGCTGGGGATGACGTGTCCCAGCCAAAGAAGAGGGTGGCGAGGAAGTCACTGAAGTCTGACGCAGGGAGCGACGTGATGGACACTGTTGTGGATGTGAACTTGAAGGATGCTCCAAAATGGCTTCTTGAGGATCCGAAGTTCAACAAGATCGCAAATAAGCTGGGGAAGATCTCAAGATGTTTCATGTCCATGAACGCAGTGGAGAACTTGGAGAAGCGCAAGCCGATCGGGCACCAGCTCAGAGGGGTGCCTGGGCCTGGGTTTGGGGATGGGGTCAGGGTACATTGACGATTCATGCTTTCATAATACAATGATGTGAGGCTGGAAAAGAGTAGAGTAGAATAGTTCAGAGCGTTTAGAAGGGCCTATCATTTTAATTCTTCTAGATTCTAGATTCTAGTAACAGTAGTGATTCAATAGTGTTCAATAGTGAGTAGTGCTCAAGGATGCAGTTTATCAACTTGTTGTTTGCTCTTTGTGCCGCTTTCTGTGCGACAGGTTTCGTTCTCAAGGGCTGCGGCTATCCTGACACTTTGATAGGCAGGTAGCCAGGTAGGCTGAATGTATTATAGTTTAATGATTTTACTGATCTTACTGTTCGAAATCCTGGGCCTTGTGGTAATTTTGGAATCCACTTTGCACCTGGCAGACACTTATTTTAGCTCCATCACTAAACCCAAACTTGCCCAGTTCTTTGTTACACTGCTAAAATTGCCGCTAAAATGCTGGCAGGGTGATACTTGCAATTCAGTTTGAAATGGTTGGTTCATGAACGTTTGGCAGTACATTCTATCAGATAGTATCACTCAGACATTCAACCCTAGAAAGGTAGATGAACCGTGATGTTGCGCAGGCAAAGAAGATCCTCAAAAGCATGCAGGAGTCCAAGTTCAAGGAAGCCTCTTTGCTCGAAGCCAAGATTACCTTGCTTGAGCACGTCGAGTCCCTCCTGCATGGTCCTAGTTATTCCAGCCTGCCTCGACATGAGCTCAGAGCGCATGTTGCAGCATGCGTCAATGAGGGGCTGGCGTTGCCGACAGACCTCCGGGTAAAGATCCTTGAGCGGTTCGCAAATGATGCGTTTGGTGACTTGCTTGAGGTCAAGGATATCGACTCGAAGGAGTTTGACAAGCATTTGGCCAAGTACACCTACATGACCATCATCTTCACAAAGCCCCCGAAGGATGTTGAGATCCACGATGGCAACCCCACATGGAATTTCGTGTGGAAGGGCGCTAGAGAGGAAGTGGCCTGCAGGGAGCGGTTTGAATCTTGGGATCGGCAGGCTGCAACCCAGCAGCTTTCAGACTTGGCAGAGGCAAGCAGATTGGGCTGCCAGTGATGGTGACCATTGTGAGTAGCCTAGTGACTAGTGACTAGACTGTGGCAGATTACTGAGCAGTTCATGCCATTTTGTGTGCGCAAATTTTTGGACCATCTCCCATGTGTTCCCTTATATTCCTTAAATTCCTTAGATGATCGCTGGTGGCGTGATGGAGTCTGTGTGCAGCGACAATTTCTTCTCCCTTGTCAAGAACGTAGATGCCAAGACCAAGCCGTGCTTGCTGAGGGTGGTTACTCACTTGATCGAGGCAGTGCGTCAAACACCTGACGAGGCCGACGAGATCCCCGGGATGATTCTGATCCCGTATGAGCGCCTGGAGAAGATGTTGCTGGCCATGGTCCCCTTGTTGAGCCCCATCCCAAACCTGTTTGGTGCCAACCCGGGCCATGTCAACGACTTGAGGAAGTATAGGGGTGACAGTGTTGAGGAGTCGACCTTGAGAGACATCCTCATTGCCCCTGGCGACAAGGCTTCCCCAAATCTGTGGGTCAAAATGTATGACGAGATGCTTGCTAAGGGTGAGGCCAGCCTGAAAAGCATGCCGCAGCTTGACAGCTTCAAGAAGGTGCTCGAGGCCATGAGCAACCTGTCTGACATTAAGACGTTGGACATCGAACTCCTCGCTGGGGCAGCTAGGGGAATTCCCAAGTTGGCGAAGGAGGTGCGCTCAGGCCTCTGCGATGAGCACATGGACTTGCTTCAGAAGGTCTTGATCAACTTTGCCAGTTTCCTTGTGAAGACGCAGCCTGGGCAAGTGGACATTGGGACTTCGAACTTTGATGCGGTTCAGAGTTCCTTGTCGCTGTTTGGTTCAGTGGCTGGCGTTGCCAAGCTCTGTGAGCAGCTCAGCAAGTGGAAGAAGCAGTCTGAGAAAATGTTGCAGACCGCGGAGTTGCTCACGATTTGCCGAGGATTTCCTGAAGATTTGAATGCGCCCATGGACGCAGCAAATCTGGGTGGCTTCCTGGATGCATGGAATGCTTGCCCTAAGCAAGTCCTGGAGGACTTGGAGGGCCAGCAACGTGCGGATTACTTCCATGCCTTGAACTGGATCTTCCGTGTGCTTGCGGGTGTGATCAAGGCTAGGCCCTATAGGGTTTAGCCGTTTAGCCTCTTAGCTGTTTAGGGCTTAGGGGGCTTAGGGTTTAAAGTTTCGGGTTTAAGGTGTCAGTGTATGCGATTTAGGGTTTAGGGAGTTTAGGGTTTATTGTCTAATTACAGGGTTTTTGTTCCAAGGTCGTTAGGGCCGGTAGGGTTTAGGAAGTTTGGGGTTTAGGGTTTATAAGGTCTAGTCTAGGGCTTTGGGATTCAGGTTTAAACTCAATAGGGTCTAGTGTCTTACACACCTACTGCACAAATGTACAATGTACGGGTACGGGTGGCTTGGAGAAAATTATAGCAGGACTTTATGGTAACATTTCACTAAGTCACTAAGTCATGTAGCCTGAGCCTCATGATGCCCCACATTGCTTCAATGGTGGTACCGGTTAGCTGTTAGCTGTTAGCCGCATCATGACAATGTGAAATCTACTAATACTTCAGAGCATGTTGTCAAAAGTGCCCAGAAAAGCATGCGGGACGCTAGCCGCTAGACGGACTAGAGTAGACTAGACTACACTAGACTCACTAGACTAGACTGACTAGACTAGACGTGACTAGGGCCTAGGGCGTAGGCATAGGCCTAGACTCGACTCTAAATTCGATTTGGATTCACGAAGATGGTGACAAACAAGTTGGCCATGAAATTGAAAGTCGTACTTTAGGAGGACCCCAGACCCTCTAATTAAGAGTGGTTCATTAATATAATAGGAATGTATGAGGACCTGCAATAGCCCTAATATAACCCTTATCATTCTTCATAGCGACTAAGTGACTATTACAAAGGTGGGGGGTCCACCTACCCTGTAGTTGTATTGTACTGATGCAAACAGGACAGGCCTTGGGTGGTAAGTCAGTACCTCCACAGTAGGTCCAGTAGGTCAGTATAGGTGGCAAGGTACGGGCGCAATACTAAAGCGGTAGCCAGTACCAGAACAAAAGGAGTAGCAGCAGCAGCACCCATCAGAAGCCATCAGCAGCAGCCATCAGCAGCAGCCATCAGCAGCAGCACCTCCAGCAGCAGGAGCACATTGACCAGAATGAGTTCAGAACAATCTTACGGAAAGCTGTCAAAGAACACCAAAACATGAAGCCTGCTGAACTATTGATGGGAATCCAACCATGTGCTTCTGCCTTGCCATTGGGACTCAACTCAGTGTACGTAGCCACCCCAAACCCCTTTGGACTTTAAACTTAAACCGTGAACTAAGCCCCTAAACCCCATAGACCATAGAACTTCAACCCTAAGCCGTACACTCCAGACACCTTACGTAAACCCTAAACCCTATAGACTTTATAGATCTTAAACCCTAAGCCCGAAATCCTACAACCTTAAACCTTAAATCCTGAACCTTATAGACCTTAGACCCTAAACCCTATAGACTTCCAACCCTAAGCCCTAAACTCTAAACACCATCAGACTTAAACCCTAAACCCTACACACCTAAAGCCTGTTAGGGCCTATCAACCTTTCAACCGAAACCCTAGACCCTGACCCCTATGGACCTTAAATCTTAAACCTTCTAGACCTGAGAACCTAAACCCAAAACCTTATAGACCTTAAAGCTTAAAGCCTCTAGCCGCTAGCCCTTACTTGCAAAGCGTAACTAGCCTAAATCCTGAAGTGACGTTGCAGGCCACTGGGCGTGACAATGCCGTGGATCCACGCATGGTGAACGCGGCCAAGAAATTCATCGATGTGGTGGACCAGTGCGGGGAGCACCCAATGAGGAAGTGGCTGTTGCTCCAGCTTGAGGTGGTGGTGAACGCCTCTGACTGGCTTGAGGCTTGGACAGCTTTGCAGGCGACTGGCAACGAGGTCAGCACACCTGCCAGCATCCTGGAGTCCGATGCCGGCCAGGTGCGCCTTAAGCAGACGCTCAAGGCGGCGAAAAAGCTTGATGGCCTGATCCAGAAAGTCATATCTATGGAAGCCTCATTCTCGCAAGAGGCGCATGATCAGTTCTCGGCCTTGCTCAGCTTCGACTGCCGCAGTTTTGCTGCCCCAATGCTTGAACACCCTGGCCTGATGGATGTTTTGCACGTCAAAGCATCCAACCAGCGCTTGTGCTTCGAGGACCTGTGTAAGGACCTGAAGACCAACACCAAGGAGTTGTTCAGCGAGGCCGAGTCCTGGAAGCGCGACCTCTCTGAGTCGTGCTCGCTCCAGGACTTGCTGGACAAGGCAAAGACCACGCTGGACACGGTGGACGGCGAGCTGGTGTCCAAGCAGTGTGAGCAGCTGGCAGAGGAGAGGGGGTCATGGTCAGCGCTTTAAATTCTGGACATTGCAAGCTCAACTCCAGAGTCTAGACTTCTAGACTCTAGATTCTAGACTTTAGACTCTGACGCTAGACTCTACAGTTGTCAGTTTGTGGGCCTCTGTAAGCTGAAAGTTTCAGACAGATGTATGTAGGGGCTTTGTAAGAGAAAGGTTTTAGACTCTTTTAGACGTTAGACTCACATACGTAGGGCCCTGGGGTCGGGTCTTTGTCAGTCTGTGGACCCAACAGCTCAAATCGCAACTATGGAAAAACCAAAAAGAGAGCTCTATAACCTTGGAATTCCCTGCATGAAGGCGCCCTGGATGACTCAATCAGTCGCGCAGTATTCAGTATACAACATTTGGCGAGAGAGCTTTCGAAGATTCGATCCTTTTTTTGCATGAGCCTCAAGGTACAGGTCTACAGCATAAAGGTTAAAATATGTTCTGCCTACTGGACGCGTCAACACGCATAGCCAGGCATGTTTCAGCAGAATATTCTATTCTTGCAACCCCCATAGTGGAATCCTGTATGGGGTTCCGGGTTCCGGGTTTAAAGTGGTCTAGGGTTAGGAGTTTAGGATTTAGGTTTGAAGGAAGTAGCCCTAATCACCCTAAACCCCTAAAACCTAAATACTCTCTAACACGACCAATTCGTGTCAGGAGTGCAAGCATGCGCAAGAGTTCCTCGACGAGATGGGCCCCTACCAGAAGGAGTTCGGTGACTTCCTGGCCGCCTTGCAGACAGCCAAGGTCACGTGTGAGCAGTGCAAAGCGATCGTTTGCGAGAGTTTGCTGTGCTTTGCCTTGCAGCTGAGCAGCAAGCAGCGCAAGCTTGCAATTGTGAGGGATCAGTTGGGTGATATCACAGGGAAGCGTGTTAAGGAGTCCTTGATTCACCCCTTGCTTTGCAAAGAGGCACGGGAGCTGGTGCAGTAGCGGCAGTAGCGGTAGCACTGTAGCCACAGCAAAGTGGGCCACAGCAAAGTGGGCCACAGAGCCTTTTGTTTGTCTTCAGATTTTGGGCAGGGCCGGTCGCTGACAGCTAACTCCTAACAATTGCACAAGCTTCCAGTGAAACCCATATATAGAGAACTTGAGCCACTCAGTGGCATAGAGTCCTTGCCATAGCATCTGAAGTCATTCATTTTCCAGTTTTCTGCCGCTGGCTGAGATTGATCGAATCTAGGTCTTGGCCTCGTCGTTTTTACAACCTTCTGGGGAACGTGCGCCACTGGAGTCTACTAGTTAAACGCTGGGCCCTAGCCTAGCCGCTCTAGACTCTAGCCCTAGCCGCTAGCCCTAGATTTGCTGTAAACTCCTAAGCCCTATAGCCCTATAGACTCTAGACCTTAAACCGCAAACCCTATAGAAGGTGAAACCTAAACCCTAAACCCTTTAAACCTTAAACGCTAAACCATACAGGCCTTAACCCTTAAACCCTAAACTCTGTAGACCTTAATTCCTAAACCCCAAACCTAAACCCTATAGTGGCCCTATAGACTATAGACCTTAAACCCGAAAGCCTAGCCGGCCGGGCCTAGCCTAACCAGTACTAACAGATTCTGGAGCACCATTAGACGCCATACACCATAATATGTACGGATGACCACTTCCCTGGATGGAGGCCTGTAGACTGTAGACGGGGTGCCGCTTGGGCATGGCCTAAGACAAACTCTTCTTGGCAGGCATGTGCTTTACTTCCGCGTAGTTGCCTCGGGCTCTCCATGTGCCTTCAGACCGCTCAAGATTCTTGAAGGGAAGACCTGGGAAAAGCTGCTTGGGCGCGTGTAGTATAGTCCCCCTTAAGTAGATAGAATATGGCTCAATATGGGATATATGGGGATCTTATTATAACATACCCGAAGCCATATGCCATATTCTATGTACTTAAGGAGGACTATACTTGGAGTTGGAGAATATTTTTTGAGAAATATTTCATAATTTCATATTTGATTGGACAAGTTCTGATTGAAGAAGCCGGGCCTATTCAATTCATCATGAAATACAATGATGAAAGAAATGAATCAATACTTCAATACGAATGGTATTCATGACTACTACTGACTACTGACTGTAACCAGTGGGCCTGGTCATTTTGTCTATCCAATGCACACTGGTGAACGACTGTTGACTATTGGCTATTGAGTATTGTAACTTCAAGCTTTAAACTTTAAACCCTGAACCCTATAGGCCCCAAACCCTAAGGCCCTAAACTTTACAGACCTCAAGCCCTGGGCCCTGATCCCTGTAGACCTTAGAACCTAAAGCTTAGACCCTGACCCCTATAGACCTTAAACCCTTCTAAAACTTTCAGGGCTGGAGCTGATGGCCAGGGCTAGGGCCAGGGCCAGGGTGGTTGGTTGGGTTGCACTCCCAGACATCAAAGCCTCAAACAGCCCAGCCGATACAACATTTGGCTAAAACAAATTCTGCTTGATTCCTTATTCACCGTATTCTTCCCGAAGCTGGCAAAATTATTGGCTGGATACCCTGCAACAGTTGTGTTCAGGCACCCTTGCAACATTCTACCTCAAGTCTATGTATCCAAACCATCTGCCCAACAGTTACTGCCCCATTCGGACCTATTCCCTCCTGCCACTCATGTCTGGTCTATTCAACTCAACATTTTTGAAAAATCTATTGTGCTGAATTCAGTCATGACAATTTCGGACCATCTGGATGTGAATCAGTTGCGCAACAGGTGGATCCGCCAGCAAGATTTAGAGTTTGAGGTCTACAGCATGTAGGTTTAGTGTTTAAGGTCGGGTCTGTAGGGCCAGGGCCTAGGGTTTGACGTCTATGAGGTTTAGGGTTTAGGGTCAGGTTTAAGGCTTAAGGTCTATAGGGTTTAGGGTTGAAGGGGGTTTAGGGTTTAAGGTTTAGGGCCCATAGGGTTTAGGGTTCAGGGTACAAGGTCCAAAGCCTTGGAGGATGGCAAATCATTGATTGATATTACTAGTTACTAGTACTTAGACTTAAACTTAGAGTTATTTTCCAAGGACTCCCTCCTCCCCACCACCGCCGCCACCACCCCCCAATAAATTCCCTACACCCAAAGGAGGACCACCGCCTCCATCACCAAGCGATTTGCAAAGCCAACCAGTCAAACCATGCTTCCTTCCCTGCACCATGCCCACTGTAACCCGCCACAGCCACTGCTCAAGTAGGTGCCACCATAGTCTCTTTCCTGTGCTTGCTGCTTTGCTGCCCTTCTAACTGCCGTTCACCATTTGAACTCACTATTTATTTGTCGTCTCTGTTTGCTAAAAATTTATAATGTCATTCTGAGGCATCTGGCCATGGTATTAATTACATTGTCATGCATGTTCGCAACATGCTGAATTTCACAAGTATATGATTAGAATGACTTCAGATATTGATATAATGTGGTGGAAAAATCTGATAGTCACTAATAGTCGATAATCAAGAAATTCTGGCATGTTCCTCAAAATCTAGAAGTTTCATAATTGTTCAGAAGTTTATTCGAACAACAATGTGAGAGAACAATGTCTTCATTCCTCCTATGTTTTCATCAATTTTCGACAATTTCTGGAACATTTAAAAATTTAGGTAGGCCAATTAGTAAAATGACATTTAAATTGCACCGGTTTCCTGAATTTCCTAATCATAGAATTTTCAGAAAATTTTCATATTTCTTCATAAATCGATTAAAAAGTGAAGGACAATTTAGGAAAATTCCAAATTTCCGAAATTGGGAAAAATGATCAATATTCTAGGAAAAGCTAAGGATTTCCTCATTTTTTTACGGAAAAAAGGAGAAAACTCGAGAAATGTAGGATTTTTCAGCAAAAATCTAGAATTTCATAAATTTTTCATAAATTTTTCATAAATTTTTCATAAATTTTTCATAAATTTTTCGAAAATTCATGAAAAATTTATGAAAAATTTATGAAAATCAAGGATTTTCATTGATTTTCAGCAAAAAATGAGGAAAAATGAGGAATTCTCTATGAAAACCGAAGAAAATTTGGGAATCCCGAGATTCATAAATTTTTCATAAATTTTTCATAAATTTTTCATAAATTTTTTTCGGCCAATTTTTTTTCATAAATTTTTTGAAAATAGATAAATTCAATGATTTGCTGTCCTCCAGGGTTTGGAAACTCTCAAGTGTAGAGGAGCCCATCTTTTCGCTTTAAGGGGGTGGGGGGG